TTTTTTTTAAATGATGGCTTTTCATTAATTTTTACTGCCATATTGTTACAGTTCTGATTCCTCCTGAGCAGCTCTGGGGATCAGTTGGTGCTGGAATGTGTGTATGCAGGTCAGCACATGAGAACCATGGGGCACTGCGTGGGAGATGCATTGTTTGTGATCATAGCACCCCAAGGGTGCAGCCCTGATCCTCCTGCCCATGCACCAAAACATGACCTCACCCATGGTCTGAGCTCTGACAGCAATATCTGAGTAAATACAGAAAGGAACCCTGATGGAAAATGGACAGTTGGATGGATGATGAGTGATGCGTATTGCATTGAGGGCTCATACAGCAAAGTCCAGAAGGAACAGAGGGACCAGGTTACCCAAGGAACCTTTCCTGAGACTTAAGATGCCCTAGGAAAGAACATCCTGAGGGACATCACCCTCATGCAAGCACTGATATCATGTCAACCCATTGGTGTCAGGGACAGGGAGCTAGGCTTCCCCTGCCATCTCAGCCATCTAGCACTCCTAAATGCATGAGAAAAAGGAAAATAAAACCTATATTCTGTTCCGCTTTCAACTTTCTGCTCCTGCCCATACACTTCTCCTGGCATTATTACAAGCGGGCTCCAACATTGCCTTTGTTAAGAATGAGAGCAGAGCACATTTCCCCGAGCAATGTTTGTATCAGCATTTTCAGGCTCCTTTTATCGAGTCTCGCACTTCTCAGAGGAGACTCAGCGGGGAGATGAGCTCTGGATGCGTTTTCCTAGCAACGTCTCGCTTCAGAGAGGCCACCAAAGACGTTCAGGGAAGCAGTGATTCCCTGGTAGCGCCTCAGTCCAAGCTCTGACCTGGAACCGTGGGCTCTGCAAATACGCATAAATCTTCAGCTCACGTCCAAATCATCGCAAGGTTCAGTGAAAACAGCAAAACTGCCAGTGGATCTAACCGAAGTTTTAATCCAGCTCCAGCATGATTTATGGCCTCAGGTGGAAACCATGAAGCACGATGGCCTCAGCCCAAGCCAGGGGACGTTCAGCTGCCCCAGCCCCAAGGTGTTGTGTTACGGCGCTGAAGAATCGGGGCTGCAAGAGGCATGGATGAAACTGAACAGCACAAACACATCGCAGCAACACCTTCAGCCTCTGTGCATCACAGGGAGAGTAAGCACTACTGATAAATCACACCAACCTCCTCCACAGGGACAGAGGGAATTAAAAAAATATTAAAAAAAAAAAATAATCAGAAAGTAATAGCAGCAAGCAACCAATAGAGGCGTGTTTTCTGATTAAAAGTAGCAGTCAACAAACCCCAGCATTTGCAACAGTGCTTCTCTAAATGCAGCAGTGCTATGTTTGTCAGGACATTTATGATGGCTTTATAATATGTGTTTCACTTTCAAAATGTTACTAGTAGAAAACCCACATTTCTTCTACAAAAAACAAAACAAAACCTCTAAGTAGTTTTCTAGAGAAGAATGAACGTCCTCTCCCTTCTGACTCTCATTAGCCATCTGCATATTGAAGAGCTAACAGCAACAGCAATCAGCAGAAGGTCCCGGTGCCGTGACCAGAAGGGCTTTTGCCCCATCTCTGTATCAGCACATCCCTAGAAACCTGCAGCCATTCCCTACCCCACAGCCATCCCATGCATCTGCAGCACTCCGTGGCTCAGCTGAGATGCTACTGCGCAGCCTGAGCTGACGTGGGTTGGTGATTTAACATCTGCATCCGAACCTGGTGCCAAGCCCATCCTTTTTCCAATACTCAGCATCCCTCCACGCACATGTAAATATCCAAAGGGAAACACTACAGCACAACTTTTGACCGGCACGGTAATCCCAGACAGGACATTATAGCAACACCTGCAACGTGCTCTGACTTTTCCAGCTGAGAGCACTGTGATCGTGGCACTGCCATCCCCTGGGGGCACCACAGATGACCGTGAGATAATGAGCACAGTGCAGACACTTTGCAGGATTTTTGTTCTGAAGTGATGAGAAATAGTTCACCAGAATTGGGAAACACAAGCAGAGATGCTTAGGAAGATAAAACTGGTGCCAAACGAGTTCAGTTCTCCTCTCACTTTGCCTTTAATACCACAGTGTCTTTGTGCAGATAGAACCTGAGAACTGTCTTCTGATTTTTCAGATCTATTACTCATCTCTGTGACAGCAGTGTGAAGTAGAGGTCACAAAACCCAGCCCCCATCCCCAGCACTCCCTCGTACAGCCTCACACATCAGCCCTCGTGCATCCATGCTGAGGTGGGTGCTGGAAAAAGCAAAAACCACAGGCATGGTTCTCTCCCTCTCTTCCAGTGTAAAACCAGAGAGATTCCCAGCTTCTTCTCATTGGAAAACATCAGCTTGCACTGAAAGGGTTTCTACAGACCCTATGTTGTAAATGAAGCAAGATTAGTTTAAAAAAAAAAAAAAGGGGGGTTCCTTTTTTTTTTTTTTTTTTTTTTTTTTTTTTTTTTAATCAAATGAAAGAAAGAGTGTGACAAGGAGTCAGGAGTCTGTCTGCTGTGGAATATTCCTGCAGCACTCGGGGCTGTGGTTTATTTTACTGGTGGTGACTAGTTCAAGCCACATTTAGTCAATAAATATGAGATATGAGGTCACCCCGCCATTTAGCTGTTACCCTGTCTACATATTTCACAGCTGGGCAGTAACCTTTTAACTAGCGTCTACCTCGGTGGGGAGTCTCCATAAAAAAAGAGCCAGGATCCCTTGGTCGTGGTGGGGGACCCAGGCGCAGGAGCTCCACAGGGAGTTCTGAGCAGAAGGGTCTGCACCAGGCGCTGCCTGTTGCTCTCATACCTGTTTGCAGCACACAGCACCCAGCTGGGCTACGTGCAGGGATCAGGCGATGGAGCCACATCCCATGTGCTGAGCTCTACAGTAGGATCCCCCTTCTTACACGTGGAGATGGGCCACAGGACAAGTCGCCTGTAATTCCCAGCTTTGGAAGCACCTATCCAAGGTGAATGTTTCCAAGGAGCTCAACTTCCCCAAAAGATTGATTCTCCTCTGCCTGGATCCCCAGCTTCTCCTGCGTGCCTTTGCCCTGCTCCAGAATGAGGGTCTCTCTCTGCTTCTGAGCTCATAACTCAAGCTGAGTCTGCCTAAGATTAAGCACCCCTAAGGCCATTGCTCAGATTTCCCACAAGCACGAGAGTAACGGTGCCACGCACAGCCAGGAAGAGATGGTGCATCCCCAGCTCTGCCCCAGCCTGGTGTGAAACCCCCAGGCTTCAAGTAAGGGATTCTGCTGCTGCTGCTGTCCCACAGCCCCCGCTGTGCCACCCTGTCCACCTCTGGCACTGCCCATGAGAAAACAGTGAGCATGAGCACAGCCTGAGCCAAAGCTCCTGGCCGACCTCCAGAGAAACACGCACATCCCTACCAAAATGAAACACATGAGTGGACATGGCAAGAAACGTGCAGGGAAGAGAAAGCAAACAAAAGCAAAAGAGAGAGGCCACGCTTAGGGAGGAGAGCTGTAGAGCAGAGCACAGAGCTGTGCTGTTTGCTCCGCACGCTGTGCTGCAGCACACGGAGCCCTGGGGCCTGGGCTGGCACTGAATGTGGTGCCCAGGAGGGAGAGGCAAGCAAGCAGCAAGCTTCTGCCCCTGGCACGCTGGGAATCCCAGCCCAGCTCTGCCTCCTGACGTCACACTAAGGCTCAGCACCAACACAGCTCCTCCCAGCTCTGCTGGAGCCTCCGAAATCGGAACCTCTGCTGTCAGCTGCCTTTTATAGGGCTATAAAACCGACAGCTCATGGGCAGACATTGGCCGGCATCAGCTTCTGCCACCTTCAGCATCACTGCTGTGCACGGTCCCCAGAGCCACCTCCCGGTGCCCAGCCAACAGCCGCACAGATGGACAAGCAGACACGGACAGATGGACATACAGAGCCACAGATAACTTGGGTAAATGTGCCCACGTGGAAACACGTCAAGGCAGGAAAGCACCCATATATAGATGCTCAGCAACCTGACCGTGCTCACCAACAAACAGTGCCACAGTGCCAATCCCAGCTACCTTGGGCTGAATGCTCCCAAACGAAGCAGGGCACACCAAGGCAGTAAAGCATCTGTATTCAGATGCTCAGCATCCTCACAGTGCTCACACAGCCCCCACCCCTCGCTGGGACCACGCAGCAGTGCCACACGCTGTCACCAGGCACAGCTACAAACACACCTCCCCGTAATGCTGGGCCCAGCGACAAGAACAACATGCAGTAACACTGCACCCACCCACTGAGAACACCGAGTGTGTCACACTCCTCTGTGTCATGTGTTTAAAAATATCCCTCCCGACAGCCTTTCCCCCCACCCCTTCTTTTTTTTTTTTTTTTTTCCCCTCTTTTGCATTTATTTGTAATTTTTGAACACCCAACTTGGCCAGGTGGAAAAAGCTTGCATCAGAGCAAAGCTGAGGATGGTGACGGGTGTCTGCTTGTTGCATGTTAAATGGGAGGAAAGGAGAAAGAAGAAAAAGAAGAAGGAAAAAAAAAAAAAGAAGTTTGCAATTACATGTTCTTTGCAGAGAGGTGTGGCCATTGGCTCAGGGATGGGTTTCAGCCTCAGCCGCACAGACAGATGCTTAGGGAGGCGGCTTTCGTGGCTGCTGCAGACACACAAAGAGGAGCAGCCAGCAGCTGAGATTTTATGAGAGTGAAGGGATTAGAAGCTAATTGAAAGGCTGAGGAAGAATTCGGTCCTTCCGCTCAGTGCAGGCTGCCCAGAGCTGCACAGAGAGCTGACAGCAGCGGCTGGGAGCAGGCAGGTCCCATGGAGAGGCTTAGGTCCCCATGCCATCACAGTAGCCTTCCTCTACCCCTCCCTTCCCCCCTGAAATAAATGCTGAGTTATTTAAATTAAACTGTATTTAAATGTAACGCTCATTGTTAGCTTTCCATAGGAAGCATCCATAAATGGAGGCACCTGGGAGCAAGGCGTGTTTGGAGAACAATCAAAAGCAAACAAGCACTGGGTCAGATCGCAGGGGCAAGGGGAATTTTGCTGGCCGTAAGGCAAGGCTGAAAGAATGGATAAAGAATTGGTTGGATGGTCACAGTAAGAGGGTTGTAGCCAACAGCTGTATGTCCAGGTGGAGACCCAAGGTCACAAGCAGTGTCCCCCCTTGGGACTGGTGCTCTTCAGCATCTTTATCAATGGCACAGGCAGTGGGGTTGAGCGTACCCTCAGCAAGTTCTCTGGCACTAAGCTGAGTAGTACAGTTGATACAGTAGAAGGGAGGGACCTGGATACGCTCAAGAAGTGGGCACGTGAGAATCTAATGAGATTCAACAAGGCCAAGTGCAGCGTCAGGCAGTCCCAGATATGAGTACAGACTGGGGGAACTCACTGAGAGCAGTGCTGCAGAGAAGGACTTGGGGGTCCTGATGCGCTCCAGGATCTCAAATGTCTTTTTTGTAATGAGGGGCCCAGAACCTCATCCTTAACCCCCTGCAGCTGTGGCTGGAGCCCATTTCCAGCAGAACAGTTACACTCACAAACGTAACAAATCTGTCCTGCCCAATGAGGTGAAAAAGCACTGAAAGCTGGACAGTGCAATTTCCATCATTTTTTCAGCCTTAGTTAAATTGTGCAGGAAAAAAATAAAATAAAATAAAGGTTTTGAGCTATTTCTGATTCTTTTTCCAGGATGGAAAAAGGATAAAAACAATGTATGGGAGGCTCTGAGCTTAAAACCTCTTTCCTTGTTTTTTTTCCCCTTCTTGCTTTCTCCCATAGCAAGCAGGCTGAGACACCAAATCAAACTGCTGCCCTACCATTCAGCAGCTGCAGGGTAGGAAAAAAGCAACAAGTGGTGCCTACAATTGCCATGCTGTGGCTTTTGGAAGGCTCAGATGTCAAGCTAATTTGGTGCCATTTCCTGTTTTGCTACGGCCAGACAGAAGGAGAGAAAAGAGATGCAGCAAGTCCCAGTTCCTTAAGCAGGGGTTGCTCATCACTGGCCCCGAGGTCTCTGAATCAAGGAAACACCATTTCCAAAGGAGCTGCTGCTGCTGGGGAGCTGCTTCAATCTGTCTCCTCCCCTCACCCACAGCATCTGTGCAAACCAACAGGAGCCCCTTCAAGCAGCAGCCATCCCTCCAGCATGAGTCCTGCCTAATGGGGAGCAGCAAGGAGGCTGCACATGCTGCAGCCCTTGTTTGAACATCTGCTGTCCCTAATAGGAACAGAAAAGCACGGCGCACTGACATGGGTTGCAATGGATGAATCTTAAAATTGTGCCTCATAATCAACAGCAGGGCAGAATCTCACTGCTGCCAGTTGGTCCCATCACCAGCACAACATCCACCATCCCAAATGACACGACACTGCAACCAGGGACTTCAAAAAGGACAGCATGATTGTCTAATTGGATTTCTGGTCTCAATTAGGGCAGAGGAAAACCAAATGCAAAGCTGAGCTGGAAAGCTCCAGCCATCTGCAAGTGGCTAATCTGCAACATAGGAGCATACAACCAGGACACAAAACATTGTCTCAAGGTTTGCATTGACTCACCTGCTTCCAACTGAGTCCAGAGGTGCACCAGCAGAGTCCACATGTAGCAGAACATTGCCTCCATTCCCTGCAGCACTGGAGTTGCACCAGAAGAAGTCAGTTCAGCTCTGACCCCTCCCCTGCCTCCAGCAGGATGCTTAGCTGTGAGATCCACGCTGAACCAGAGGAGCCTCAACAAAATCCCATTAGTTTCACCTTGAAATCAAATGGAGATCAGGGCCTAACAAGCAGCTGAAGCAAAGCAATGACCCAGACCACATGTTGCCAATCAGATGCCATGTGAGGCTCATTATTGCAGCCCAAAGGTTAGAGTGGCTGCTCAAGCATTTCCATGTGGTGTTGGAGAATGAGCACCAAAAGATAAATGAGTCAGTACAGGAGCAATATGAGCTGATGGTCAGTGCACCCCCACTCACTCCTGGAGCTGCAAGGAGAGTCAACCAAAGTACCAATGGTGGCATTGCCTCATTGCACGACTGCCTTTGCTAAATGATGAAGCAAAACACTTCCTTGCTGCTGCTATAACACAACAGCAACCTACAGCATTCCCAGCCTGTGCTGCTGGCAGCTGAGCCCTGGCACTGCCCTGCAGCGCTCCTCTGCTGGCTGCTGGGCCTCCCAGTTATAGTGTTTAACTGTATCTTGCCAGCTGATAAAAGATCAGGATTTGCATATGTTTGCATGGCACATTTGCATACTTACGGCGATCAATTCTGCACTGTGAACACACCACCATAGATGGAGCAACCTCAGCAGCTCCGTGCAACCCCACTCTCATCCCAGCACCACATCCCCTGTCCCACAGAGGGAGCAGAAACGAGCTTAACTCTCATGATCGCAAACTCCACCCCACTGCATACCGTGCTGATGCAAGGGAAAAACGCATGCTGCTTTTTCCTCCTTCCCCCCAAAAAGCCAATTCCTCAGCAGCATCCTCAGAGCATCCCATGGGCTGCGGTGGGCACTCAGCCCTGGGTCTCTGCAGGGAGCCCGCCCGCGGCACGCCGCGCAACCGCCGGATTTATGCCACCGCTCCTAATGATCAGCTGTGGACACAGAGGAACTCCCAGCAATTTCCACCCTCGGTAGACACAGGTTTTCAGCACTGGCTATTTTTGCTGCCCACAAGTATTTTCATTTAGCTGGTTGGAAATCGGGGCTATAAACGGAGGAGGTTGGATGCTGAGCGTGAGCAGCTCCGTCAGAGGCCAAAGGAGATGCTGCCATTCTCACCCACACGCCGTGAGATTACTGCCTGGCCCTCTTCCAGAGGGGCTTCCAAGCTGGTTTTTCCTTTCTGCTGAGCAATCTGGAACCTGACTTTCCTCCGCTGTGCGTTTTCCTCAGTGGTGGATGGAGGGTTCAGCGCAACGTTCTCAGCACTGCTGCTCCAAACGCGTTGGAGAGGAGCCCAAATTTAGGGCGCATCAGCAGAGATGAGAAGTGAAGCCCAGGTGGTCACCGGTTCCATCCTACAGCAAAACAAAAAATGCAATGAAACTTCATGGAGGTGGCAAAAATAGCAAACAAAGTGGAAAGAACAAATGCTTAGGAAAAAAAAAAAAAAAAAAAAAGAAACAACAAACCACAAGGACTGCGAGCAAAGTGGTTATAGAAAATGGCTGCAAGCTTAAGTGTGATTCAGAGAGTCTTGTCTGAGTGTCAGAGGTTCAATACTATTGCCTCCAATTTAAATCATTTTTAAAAGAAGTGCAAAAGAAAGGTGATGAAAGGGCCCTAACGTTGTTCCCTGGTCTGAAAAACACAGCCCACTTGTGCACTGTGGTAAAGTTTTGCATTTTGGCTAGACATCGCGTGCAGGGCTGTGCTGGAGCCTTTGCTTATTTTTAAAAGTTGAAGTCACCGGTGATCTGTGAAGGGAGAAAATGCTTTTTCCTTTGAGGAAGATGCCATAGGAGCAACATTTCCTGGAGGGGAAAGGTCTGGGGGGGGCCATTCTATGCATCTATTCTTCCTGGTCCAACAAAGCATGGGTGAAGACCAGTTCTTGGAGTGAAACCTCCTGTTTTGGGGCTTGGGCTTCCATAACTGCACTCCTGTTGCTTTGCAGTGGCGCTTGAGGATGTTCACATGCTGACATTGCAAGCCCAGGCTTTTCCCCGTTGGTGTGTTGTGGAGGGGTGGCAGGGCCGAGGCACCCACATGCAAGGACAGGCACACATCCCCTACATCTAAGAACAGTCACCCAACACAAAGCCATCCCCATCCCTGAGGATGTGGGGTGCAGGATCCAGCCCTGGTCCTCATCCTGGACATCCCCAGCCTGGCTGCCGGCCTGGCCTGGGATTCCTGGTAGGGAGGGCTGAGCCCTGCGCCTCCTCCAAGGTAAATACACCAGGCTTTAGGCAGTCTACTCCGTGGAGCTGCAGCCTGTCTGCTCTGACCAGATGCTGGAAGTGCTGCAGCTCAACTAGACATCAACCTCCTCTTGAAAGCCTCTGGGGCTGCGGTCCATGCAGAGACCCCAGCAGAGCCAAGGGGACATCCCTGGGCTGTCCCATGGGGGACAATGGGGAGGCAACACTGGGTGAACTCAGGATTCATTGGCAGGAGCCGAGCACCCCATTGCCTGGCATTCGTCCCCTTGGTGCTCAGAGCCAGCACAGGGTCGTGGCAATGCAGAACAGAAACCCTTTGCTCACCTAAGAGGAGGTAAACGCCGGGCACTGGCACCAAGAGTCAGACACAGAGGACTGAGGAACAGCCACTTCCCTGATGGAGACTGCCTTGCACATTTGGAAAAAAGATTCCTATCTTTTCTATATTATTCAGGCACCCAGACAATTTAGGCACCGATCTGGGCTTGATAATCTGACCTGAGAAGGGATCGTCTGTCCCTGCACTGAAGCTTAGATTTTAAGCTCAGCGTGAGCCATTATTATCATCCATCTCCTTTGTGACACAGGCTAGAGACTTGCACTGCTGTACCAAAGCAATAACTTCTGGTTAAGCCTGCCAAAAAAACTTCTATGCGGATGTTCTCTCTGTATTTTAAAGGAGAGAAATGCACAATAAACACCCATAAACACCTTTTCCTTACAGCAACCTGATGGACTTGGGGTGTCTGTGTGTAGGTTTCTACCAAAAGATGAGTTGAACAATTGTGTGACTCCTTTTTCTTTCCTTTCCTCCTGCTTATGCAGTGAGTTACTAATATCCTGATTGGAACCAGATTTGCATGAATTAGAAGTCGAAATTGGAGCAGCAACTGCTGTGCAGAGGATGTAAAGGGAATAAAATGAATGGGGTATTAACCTTCAACCACTGAATATTAATCAGTGTTTCACAAAAAAGAAAATACAGAGGCTGCCACACTAAATATTTTTAGCATTTATTGACGGGTTTGATTTCCTCTTTCTTTTAGACCTTTTGCTTCCAATCACGGACCATAAAAAATCACATAGATGGGGGAGCAGAGGGAGGGAGAGGGTGAATTAAAAAAAAAAAGATCATCCATTTTCTTAAGTGCCAGATGATATTTGTGAGTTATGCAACACAGAAAACCATCTCACAAACAGAGTGCCTTATCCCACAACTGATCTGCTCAAAGGCTCATTTCTCCATGTCCCAAACCAAACAGAAATCGACCCAGAAGTACAGCGAAGCCTTCGGAAATGAATGCACGATAAAGAAATAAACTTCTTAAAAACTAAACTTCCCGTGTGCTGAAAAGTAAAATGCAGCTGAAAATCAGCCCAATAAAAGAATCAGCTCATTAAACAAAGCCTATTTTTTTTTTTTTTTTTTTTTTTGCCCAACGTGGTCCAGTGCATGAAACCAAACCAAAACGCCCCTTGGATGTGATGGGAAGGTGAATGGGTGGATGGATGCAATGGGTGAACACAGCGGATGGGTGCTGGCAGTAAATGGAAGGGGTGGAATGGATGGGTGCAATGGTTGGGTGAGGAGGATTGGTGTGATGGGTGGTCAGGAAGTGTAGATGCAACATGTGGGTGCAACGGATGGTGATCATGGGTGGGTGTGATGGGAAGATGTAAGGGATGGAATGGATAGGTGCGATGGTTGGGTGTGAAGGATGGCTGCAATAAGTGGGTGCCATGGGTGATCCCATGATTGGACCTGGGTGATGGAGGTGGCAAACAGCCCAATGCAACCTCCCCAGTGTGAGAGTGGTCAGCCCTGGAATCAAACCCAGCGGTGCTGATCAGACCATGCCATCTCACCAACAGCACTGACAGTTACAAAAACCACACAAGTAGAAAACTATGGAGGCTTCTCCTTTTTTTGCCATTTCTCACCCACAAATTTGGCAATGGGAGGATTTTGAACAAGATACCTCCTAAAATCCTTCTTTTTTTTTTCAGCACAGACAATTCCCTCTATGCCAAACAGTGCCTCCCTTCTCCCTTCTCCTCAATGCACCTTCGTAAAACAGAATTCATTTTCATTAACCTCTTATCGAGTTACCTGGATTTGTTTCAATGCTCAGAATGTATTAAAAAGAGAGAGAGAGAAAAAACAGTGGTAGGTTTTCAGGAAATAGCAAGTTCTTTTTCACTGAGATAGAAATCATTTGGCAAGCTGCAGTGAAATACTTCTAGGTTCCAGAAGAAAGCAAGGGGCAAAAAAAGTAAGCAAGCAAAGGGAAGATGCTAATGAACTGCAGAGGAGAGAAAAAATAAAGTTGAAAAGAAAATAAATAAAAAAGAAAAAGAAAAATCAAACCCTGCTAAACACACATCCTCCTCCAGATGATGTGCAGAGGAAACCTGCAGTGTGTCTCTGCAGCACCTTCCCTGGGAAGTGGTTAAGGGTAGGTGGCGTTCCAGCGCCGGGAATAACCACCATTTCAGCCCTTGTTGCCAAAATCCCCAGCTCCCAGCTCGGTGAGACTGCCTGAGGAAGGCCAGAGCCCAGCAGGTGAAGGTGTCATTGCAAACAGAGATGCCTCACTTTAAGCACAAACACAAATGTTTTCCGCTTAACTGGCAGTGGCTCCCCTGAAGCTGTGCTAAAGCCATCAGCTGCTGCTCTGAACTCCAGGAAGCTCCTGACAGACCCAAACCACTGGCTTTGCTTTAATTTCTGTCCCGTGTGTCAGACCAACACAGTGCAGAACAAGGTCCAGCTCAGCAAGCATCAGCGCCCTGCAGCCCAGCAGTGCAGCCAGAATGGGTGAAAACCTCAAATCCTGGTGGGGCCAGGAGAGGGCCAGGGCAGCCCAGCACCTCTTCAGCCACACGCACAGCATGGCTGATGTGCATTTCCAGCTCTAGGCACACCTAAGCAGCAAAGCTGAGTTATTCCATATTCTCAGGCCTTCATCACTCAAATGGCTTTTTTGCCTGGAAAGAAAGAGATGGGTTTTTTGGTTGGGTTTTTTTTTTTTTTTTTTTTTTTTTGCTTTCATCCTTCTTTGCATTTTCTCAGAAAGAAGGCTGCATTCTAATTAGTTCACATTTACAGGCTGTATAATGGAAATGCGATCCCTTCCCTAACCTTTATCATCTGTTTCTTATCTTCAGAGCTTCACGGACCCCTTAACTCTTAGTGCACGGGGAGACATTTCAGCCCTTCTGTTCCAAGGAGATCAGCAGTGACACGGTTGGGCAGAGGATCCCCCCCAATCTACTGCACTGTAGGGAGGACAAGGGACATCATTCTGTCCTCCCACCGCCAGCTCTGCTGGCACAGCATCACCAGCAGATGTACAGGAAGATGCTGTGTTAATGCGGGTTGCACATTTGGACACCAAAGGACATCAGCCCCTCGTGCAAAGGGACATCAGCACCTCATGTGCTTGTCCTGCCTGTACCTATACACCAACTGCAGGGGATGCTTCCAGGCAGTGCAGCCAACACCATCTATCCAACGTGCTCTGCCCAGACCTAGGGCTCCAGCAGCAAAAGGAGCATAGCACAAGCTGTGAAATCCCACTGGGTGGGCTGCAACAGTGCTCAGCCAACTCACGTTGCTGCCTCTGGTCCCGCTGAAGCCGGAGCAGTTTGGCAAGTGATGCAGAGCTAAAAGCTTAATCACTTGTTTATATCTTAAATAAGCCCTACACCTGGAAAACACATCTTCCTGCAGCAAGTGTCTCTGGTCAGACACCAGCCTGTTTGCATATATAGCTCCTCTGAGCCACACGTTAATTGTAGGCTGCTATAAAAAAAATACCTTTTTCCCCTTGCACGTTTTAAATCTGTCACTTTTGATTTGCATCACCCAGTGCTGATGCTGAGCATCCCGCTCCTTCCTGCCCCATCCCAAGGACACCCCATCTCCCCCACACCTCCTCCCAACCTTCCCTATCCCAGCACAGAGCAGCAGGACCCAATTCTTCCACTTTCACACCAGAAAACAATATGAGATTTAAGCTGTGGGGAAGGCAACCTGTTTCAGCCTGACCACTTCTCTGTTCTTTTTCCTTTTGGGAGGGATCTCTGAGGGTGTTTCTCAGCGTAAAACTGAGGGAGATTCACTAGGATTCAGTATTACAGCACTGAGGTACATGGATCTCCGCACTGCGTCTTGCTTTGATAACAGAAGAATGCCAGCTGGACCTTCTATTTTAATTTCTTTACTCTTTTTCTCTCTTTTTATGTTTTGTTTTTTTTTTTTTTTAAAGCTGTCTGTGCTGCTTTTTAACCATTATCCTGCGCACGTGGTTCAGCCCTTTACAAAAGCAAAACACAACAAAAAATCCCTAGGTGTGAGAAGATTAAAGATTCAGAGATCTGGACATTTTCAAATCAAAAACACATGTTTAAAATAAATGGGGCTGGCGGACAGCCACCACTCCTAAAAGCCAAAGAGCCGCTGCATTAAAGGATCTCCTGAATGCCCGAGGAGAACAGGAGCATCAGCAGCACAGCCAGGGCTGGGATTACTTCATGGGGTTTTGATGCTCGTCATCATCATTTGTGCTGTCTCCAATGCCACGACCATTTTTTTGAGCAACCCTGTTGATTTTGAAGTGTGTCTACTCTTGTCTATCCATCCCCCAAACTTGAGCTCCCCATAAGATTTCAAAGCCCAAATTCAAGGCCAAATCTGCTCCCACCGAGATCTGGGGAAATCAGGAGGAAAAAAAGCTACCAACTCTGAGCTGAAGCCAGATCATTGGCTGAATTCTTCAGGCAAAAGAGACAGCAACCCTTCCCAGGACTAGGGAATGGGCAGAGCCTGTGGGTGAAGGATCTGCCCAACAGGGAGGTGATGAGGAAAAAGAGGGGGAAGAAGGAAAAAATGAAGGTGAAGGTGAAGAAGAGAGTAAGTCTTCAGCCCAGCCAGGGAGCTGCCAGCAGTCAGGAGGAGATGGCTACCTGCTGCCTCTTCCAGCCTTGTGCTGCTTGCAGTGCTTAAGGTCTGCATCAGGGCTGGGACCAACCCATCTCTGAGCCTCACAAGCCATGAAAACACACATGCTAAACAAACAAGATCTCAAGTCTGGTCCTAAATTTCAGTCCAATATGCAGTATGAACAAAAGCAGCGATCCAGTACTGGTTCCCTGAGCTATCTTGAATTTTGCAGGTATGAGTGCTAGGCACGACCTAGCCCAGCTGAAGTGCTTGCCCAAAAGGGTCCATTATGGCTGCAGACTACCAGAGCATCTGAAGTAACCAGGATTCCTCCTACCTGACAAGTTGGATGTGTTTCCAACCAACAGGAGAACATCCCAGGAGGAGAACTACGCACTTTGCTTACCAACACCCAATTTTCTCCATCCTTGCATTGTCCTTCTTAGTAGCAGAGCCATCTAGAGCAGGACTCTGGGTTTTGGAGGCCTAATTGATGAGAAAAAATGAACGTAATTCATCAGAACTTTCTTTACATGGAATAATTATCTTCGTCCTACAGTTGTTTATGGGGTCTTTAACTCTTCCCTTTCTACAGGGGGGTTTCTGAAATCTATTTTATTAGGGGAAAAAGATTTGAGTGTATTAGGCAAAGTGCCAGTAGCCATGGCAACCTCGGATTTTTCCATCTTCATTACAAGTTCAAGTAAAACCTTCATATAAAATCTAAATGAAAGGGTACATTATAAGTCCATTTTGAAATGTTTGCCTGGAAGTAAAACTTTGGACTGCATCCTTTTTTCTCCGCTGAACATTCTGGTTCTATGCGGAACACATTTTTCAAGTCAGATTTTTGTTTTCTTTCAAATTTTATTCCGTTTGCTCATACAGGGTGGGTCGTCTAGTGGTTAGAGCAAAGCATCAAGGCAACTGGTTTCCAGTCTCAGTCTGTTCCTGATCGGTCAGGAGCGTTCCCAATTTTATCCAGGTGATTTGGGCAAATCCCACCAGCTTTAAAAATCCTTTTTTAAATTATTTTCTTCCTTACCAGTATAACAATGATGATAATGACTGCTGTCCTACGGTGCACCAGGATTCACTCAACGTTGGCCAAGTACTCTGTCCTCAGAAGAGTGGATCTTCTCTCCCACTGCATTTTCTCCTTGGTCTGGAAGACAGACTGAAAGGTTAAGGAGAGGTAGAGGTTAGAGGATGGCATGAATTGTCTGTTTTCTTGGCAAATATTTGATTGGGAAATACGCAATTGGACTGCTTGGTCTAGATATGAACACACTGTTGTTCCAGGGGATTCTTGTCATACTTAAACAATACCTCGGTGCCACCTGAGTGGATTAATTCCTGCACTGTGTCATCTTAGAGGGCTTTGGTTTCATCCAGTCATGGGAGGAGGCAAATTCTGCAGCTGCCTTTCATTTCTGGGCACTGCCTCACCTGGGGCCAGAAAGCCACAACCATTTCAAGGACTTCCTTCCCAAACAGTCCCCATGCTGCATGCAGCCAGCAGTTCCTCTGGGACTGAACTGGGAGATATCACCTCCCCAGCCTCTGCCTGGTCTATGCAATGCAGCCCATGCTTGGGGGACTTCAGACACTGGTTCTACAAATTGATGCAAACTCAATCAGTGCTGCACTGCTTGCACAGAGCAGCCCAAAGCCCATGCACTGCTCACAGTGGGGCAGCTGCAGCCCCAGAAGATCTGCATGCATGATTTGGAGCACATTTCCAGGAAGCTGCTGTGAATGTTGGTGGCCAAGGGGAGCAGGGAGCGAGAGGGCAGCATGCTGTGCTGATCACCAAGAGCTGCCCACAGCACATGGAGCAACACCAAGCAGGAGCAGCCATTCCCTGCACCCCTCACCAGGCAGGGATGGGGTGCAACCCAGACCTTCATGCTTTTCATCCTCTCTAATGATGCTAGAAAACATTTTCCAGATCCGCCATTAGGCTGAAAGAAGACCCTTCTCCTGTTGGATCTCATTTCCCAGTGCATCATTACAGCCCCAGCTCCAACCTGCTGCCTCCTCTCAGAACTCGGGGCGGGGAGGAGGGGGGGGGGTTACACATGGCGCAGGGCTTTTGCTTTTTTTGATACATCCTTCCTTCCGCTCTTCACAATCAATTAGTGGGCAAAGACTTCCGAAAAGCTCCTTCCTCCCTAACCTTTCGCAGCCTGTTGCGATAATGACTCTGGAGAGCTCGACCTGGGCCTTTGCGTGGGGTTCGTTACCATCCCGGGGCAGCGGAAGGTGACCTTCATCCCTCCTTCCTCTTCCTTTCCTACCCCCACAGCTCAGGCAGGGACTCGCTCCCCCCCCCCCAGCAGATGAGGGCTCTGCTGTCGTTCCTGCAGCGCAGAGCCGGGGGGGCGACCGCAGGGATGTCACAGAGCCCAAGGGGTGGAGGGGCTGCCCTGAAAAATAATGATTGTAATTATGCATACCTGAATCAAGACATCAAGAGATGGAGGGAAAAGGGGTCTTTCTGGTTTTAATTTGTCATTTCTTTCCCCCTCTCTCGCAAGGCAAGCTGCTTTCCAGAAAGCAGGCTGCTGCAGCCTCCCCCCTCCCAGCATGGCAGCGATGCGGTTTGCCAGCAGCACCAGGGTTGTTTGGTCCCTCCGTGACACAGACACGCAGGTAGCACGTACCCGCAGAAGTTTTCCCTGGCACCTGTAGCTGCTTTCACAGCCCATCTGCCCAGGGACAGTGCTGAGGGCTTTCCAGGCACACCCTGTACCAAAGCATCCCTGTGCTGTGGGGCTCTGTGGATGTGCATGGGGTCAGTGCTATCCCACTTGGCACTGATCCTGGAGATGTGCCCTCCAGCATTTGTACAAGGTCTTCCTGCAGCCCTGACAGCTGTCTCCACAACTGGTAAAAACCCCTTTCCCAGCTCACTGCCATCACCACCCACCTCATCTGATAGGAATGCTGTGGCTTGCAGCATCCCACTCCCCAAAGCCACAGACCCTCTGTGTCTCTAAGTGACACTCCCAACTCATGCCACTGTCCCCACAAAAGAACTTTCCTTTACTATTTTCCTCTCACCAGCAGCAGGACAGGTGATCAAGGCACCGCTGTACAGCAGAGCTGCAGTCCTGGACATGGAGATGCAGCAAAAGCAGAAAAACAGCTGCTAAACCCCATGAGCTGGCAGTGTTTCAGTCCTCAAGCAACCCATTAAATGCAACACTTTAAACCTCTCAACCTAATATAGTCACAGCTGCAGCCATGCAGTTACTTCTGCAAGAGCAAAATGATCTCTTAGGGAAAAAAAGAGCATTTCTTTATAGCAACAGCCAAACTCTGGCGAGGACCATCACCTGCACCTGGAGAGTGTGAGCAGTACCTGTGCAGCCCCTCTGTGGCTCAGCATTGCCCCATTTGCACCCACACACTGCTTGCTGCGAGGGCTGCGTGCAACCAAAGCAGGGTTTTGCATAATCAAAACCATCCCAACCGAATGCAGCAAAGAGCAACTGGAAGCACTTTGAGGTGAGAAGCCTATTACTGAGTTATAAACCTCTCCCATCCTCCGCCTCTCATAGGGCCAGATAGAAAAATAATAACTCAAGCCCATGTGGTGAGATGGAGAGAATACAGTGTCTCCAGGTAACAAGTATTTGCTTCTCTCTCTATTGTTCTGGCCGTAAAATGGATTTATTAAAAAGGAAAGTCTGATTTAATTTGAATTAAATGTAAGAGTGCCCTGCTGGGTGTTACTTAATGCCTTGTAAGCTACAAAGTCATAGCTGACTGCTTGCAATACAGAAGGCCCAAAGCTCAAAGGAGCATCCCGGAGTTATTGGCAGCAATAGCTCAGCACTTATTTACTTGGGGAGCCCAAATTCTATCACCCTTTTGAGTAAGAAACCCCAGCACTTCTGGGGTTTACATCCCAAACTGAGCACCTATGGGAGTGACACCTCAAATCCAGCATCCATGGAGGACCAATTCCCTTATTCTTTCTCTTATCACTCTTCCCACCTTGGCCCAAAGGGGGAAGCTCATCCTGTAGCTGGAGCTGAGCAGTGCCTGGGAAGCAGACCCAGGAGCACACTGCCTTCCTTCAGCAGATTCCCAAAATCCAGGTGAGATCTGCAGATTTCTGCACTCTGCACACTGTTAGCTCGGCCAGGACGGCTCCATCAGCCTCTAATTCTGCTCAGGCAAAACGTGTTGGATGCACAGAGCTCCCCTTCCTCTCACCATGGGGATGAAACACCCAAATTTTAATCACCGCCGATCCCTAATAAACCCCTCATGAAGGGACATGGCTGTGCTTGAGCAGAGCTGCCCAACCGAGGACAAAAAGCCCTTCACCATGTGGATCACAGCACTCAGGATCTGCGCTTTCCTGATTCCCCATCCTTGAAATCTCAGCTCTGACCACTGGCAGCAGAGGGGAGAATCGAGAGACAAGCAGAGGACACGCTTCCCACCGCTCTGCCCCCTCCCTCACCCAGCATCCAATAAAGATGATTGAATTACATGTCCTTTCCTCCCATTGAAATCACCGCGCGCCGCTCGAATATTAGAGCTCAGGAAATCAGGCACGACAACTTCCCTCGTGAAACCTAAGAAGGCAGAGCAGGGGTCTGGAACGGCCGGCCTGCGAGCGCGGGTTGCTCTAATTAAGAAATCACCCCGCTGAGCAGAACCTAATCTAAATAAAATAGAAAAAGGAACTCGGCTCCAAGCGACGCCTCACGCTCCCCTGCCCAGCTCCCCAAAGCACGGCCAGCTTTTCCCTCCCGCTCCTCCTCGGAGGGCGAGGTAAGGAGCACACAGAGCCCTGTGTGTGCTTGGGGTGGCCAAGGTCCAAAGGAAAAAACACCCTGCCCGACCAACTAGCCATCCACAGCAAAAGGCTGCCATGTTTTTTTTGTTGGTGGTGGTGGTGGTGGTGATTTGTTATGCTTACAGCCCCACTCACCCCAACAGACCACGTGTCGCGGATGCAACGCATCTCCCCCACATCCCCACCTCCCACAGCCCCACGGTTCCTCTCCCCTCTCCCAGCCAGGACTGCAGAAGCCTCCCAGCCCATCAGCACTCCCCAGTGCTTTGAATTTATCACGGGAATCGCTGCTCAGACACCCAGGCACAGAAAGATTTATAGAGATAAACAGAGCGGCACAGACGGTCCCGTGTATGTTTTAAAAAAGCACTTACCTGCTTAGAAGGGAAAGTGCTCCTACTTGAAGGTTTCCTGGCCAGACCTGAAAAGTAAATCAAACAAACACTATTTTCATTTATCCATAACTCCCAGCAGATTGTTGTTCTAGGGGCTTTCAGTGGAGTTAATCTGCCTTGTGCCATTTGGAGGGCCTGATATCACCAGAATGGGACAAGACCAGAGCACCCAACTGACACCTTGAGCCCATGTCTGTAGTGCAGCACCAGCAAAGCAATCCCATGTATGCAGAACGCTAACCCAGAGGCCACCTCCTTTCCTCCTTCATATGGCTTGATGCAGATGAGCATAGAATATCATATCACAGAATCACAGAATGGGTTGGAAGGGACCTCCCAGCCCCCCACCCCACCCCCCAACCACCTTCTGCCATGGGCTGGGTGCTCCCCCAGCTCAGACTGCCCAGGGTACCTCAGGGAATGGGCACCCACAGCTCTGCCAACGCCTCACAACCTCTGAGCAAAAGATGTCCATCTAACATCCAGTTTATAGATGCAAGTGCAGGGAAGGACTGCCATTCCCATCACATCATTTAACCTCTGAGAGCACCACGGGGCCAGGAGGAGCCCTCCCAGCCTCCTGTTTTGTCCCCAGGCTTCCAAAGCACTGCAGTGTGCTCCCAGATGTCTTATTTTCACACTTTATTTCAAACAATAAACCTTTTTCTCCATAACTTGGCTCAAGCATTAACACTCCCAGTGCAGTTTCCTTTATGACAGCCTCAGGCTGCCCGGCAGCCCCCCCCCCACACCGCCTAGCCCAACCCATAGCACCCCCAGCCCTCTCCCAGCACTGCCCAGTCATGTCATTTCCCTGTTCTCCAGTGGAAAATAAAACAAATCCACTGAAGCTGTAAGGTATCAGTTAGGGCAAGGCAAAGTGCCAGCAGCTGTCCCAGAACTGTCCCTCCCCCCCCCCCCCCCAACACCCCAAACATAAGTAAAGGTGCTCAGAGACAACGATGCAATTTCTGCCCTCCCCATTTCTCCTGCATGTGATCCCCAAAACAATTGTGATGCACTGCACTCAGAAAGCAGCAGCACCAAGAAGATAACAGATTCCTGCCCTGAAGAGCTCACGGCCTGAGTAGATTCTATGCATGGGAGTGTGATGACAGACTATTTCTCAGCTTAGTGCTGCATGTGAGATTTCATCAGATATGGTGTTAGAGATGCCCTTTACATCTGCTTCTCTTTCTCTTCTTTTTTTTTTTTTTTTTTTAATAAAGCCGACAGGAGGCTTTTCCCTAACAGCTTCCAATGACAGCCCCACATTGCCCCTCATCACTGGTGGGAGCATCCACAACCAGCATCATTCTTGTCACAGAGATGGGAAGCTGAGGCACAGAGATGGGAAACTGAGGCACAGAAATGGAAAACTGAGGCACAGAGACAACCTCTGTGGCTTGCCAAAGGCAAAAATATCCATGTTGCAGAAACAGATATCCCAAAGAAACACAGCTTTGAGAGGCATTATCACAGGCTAGATGCCAAGATGTGTCAGAAGAGAAGAGAAAAGGCATTCCAAATCTAGCAGGAAATATTTAACAAATCCTGATGTCCCCGATGCTCGCGGCAACTTAAAATCTTAGTTAAACACTGGGCAGTGCCAGGGGGTGCTCAGGCATCACCATGTCCCCCCAGTGCCTCCTGCACTGGGACAGGGTGCCTGCAGGGAGCAGTCCTGCTGCTTCGATCCCATACAACCACCCCAACAAGTCCAGCTCTCAGCAGCAAAAGTCTCTATTTGTTTCCCACTTCAGGCTGGAGAAAGACAGTGCTAAGAGTCTTTGCACTGAGGAGAGATGCTGTACATGTACACACATAAACAGGCATATACGTACCTACGCATCCAGGTGTTTGTGCAAAGAAAGCCATTCCGACATCTGCAGCAGGTGCATGGCCAAAACACAGCTCACACCCAGCTCAGCCCAAAGGACAAAGCTGCAGAAAGCCCCCGAGCTTCCCCCTCCCCACTGTCCTTCCTTGTCTGTGCATTCTCCAGCAGCATCCTCAGCATCCCCGTGCAGCAGTGGGACGAGCTGGCTGCACACTAAGGCAATGAACTTGGAGTGTGCTCCCCTCTCATCTCCCACGCTGCTCTGTTTGCACGCTGCTGGCCCGTGTCAGGAGGCAGGGGATGGAGGAGATGATGGGAGTCCAAGGACACCTTTTCTTAAGCCCCATTCATAGTGCAGGCATGGCATAACAGCCCGGCAATTGTTCTCTCAAATGTCACCTTCCCATGTAGGGCACTGCGCTGACAAAAACCTCTTATGGGCATGTGTGGGAGGGAGGATTCTTTATTATTTTTCTAAGCATTACATCCTTTTAACAAACACCTCCTGATAAATCCCTCCGTGTACAGATGGATTCTTCTCTCTTTCACCCAGCCCTTCCTCTTCTCCCCCCTCTGCTTTCCCTTTCTCTCCTTCTCCCTTCCCTGCTCCCTGCAGGAACAAGCTGCCTCTGTCTGCGCATTCCTGCCAGCCCTGCTTGCTGCCTGCCGAGGTCTGCGTTGGGAGGGGGTGGGCAGGTAAGAAAAAGCAGCACCCAGTAACTGTTGTGCCATCAGCTTAATACCTGAGCAGGGAAAACAAAGGTGCTTCAGAGAAGCAACATCGGTGCAGTGCCCCCGCCCCCAGCTTGGAGGAACTCAAAGATAACGAGGGCTGAAAGAAAGGCATGAGCATAATTAAAGCTACCCGAGCAATTCCTGGAGGTATTACAGCTGCTGATAGCCCAGAGGATAATATACTCCTGGTATTATCACATCCACTGGCACAAAGGGACAGGTGCTGGATTTGGGGTTTAAAGCTCTTCGGTGCAATAATTTTCGCGGGGGTGGAAAAAGTTCTTGGGAAGGGTGCAGACGGGGCCAGGATGGGTCCCCCCATGTTGGATGAGGGTCCCTGCTGACACAGCCACCCCGAGCCCTGCTCTGCACCACCCGGCACCATGGGCTGCCCCATACCAGCTCTGAGCTGAACCCACTCAATGTGATGCTCCACTGGGTGAGGGCACTGTTAATGCCACTCTGCTGCCAGCTCTGCTTGCCCACAGTGTCACCACTGCTGATGCAATAGGGCAGAGCAAACTGGGAACAAAGCGCAACAGGTGCAAGGGATTAATGACCCGGACGATCCCTTTGTTCACATGAAACAACTTCAAGCTCCCAGCTGCTGAACTCCAGGGTTGGGCTCTGCATCTCCATGCGCTGCCAAATCAAAATCCCAGCAACTGAATCAAGCCCATTGATTCCCAAAGCCATCCCTGCCTGCAGCAGCACCGCAGGTTGGGATGTTTGCACCAGAGCCAATACCACGAGCATCTTCTGTAGGGTTCGACTGCTCTCCTGCAGAACTGCTGTCAGCCCCATGCCAGTGCCCATCCACGTCCCAGCACTCATTGTGTGTGCTCAGGTGAGACAAACCACACACTGTAACTGAGCTGATCTCACATGCCAGTTGTGGGGTCCCTCCCCATCAGTGCTCCCAATGCTCCACATCACTTCATCATTCTGAATTTTGCCAGAATTTGCAGAATTTTGCAGGCAGGTGGGGACTGAGGAGCAAAAAGCACTAAAAGGAGCAAATGGCAAAGGCTGAAATAAGTGTGCTGCTTGGGCTGGGGGGCACAAAGCTGGAGAATTGTGCAGTCCCCATAGGGCAAAGAAGGCAAGAAAGCAGAATCAAGACAGCATGGATGTGGAATTTTCCTGGGAAATCACAGAAATGACTGTAAAGAGTTTTGCACCCTGGTCTGTTGTTAGATAGAGCCAACTTCCATCCTATCCCAGTTGCATAATGTAATTAATAGTAATCCAAGCTCTGCTGTTATGCAAGAAATCTGGGGGCACTTTCTGTTCCAGTTTCACAGTCACTGTGGATGCACATCGGAGCTAACGCCGCTTCCCTGCTCTGCACTCACAGTTAACCTCATTAAGCAAAAGCATAAAGTCTGCCCTGTTTGTTTATTCCACATGATAAAACCAGGATATTAGTCACTGCGATAACACGGGTTAATTTTCAGTGAAGCCTCTCTTGGCAAACTTTTAATACAATGAATAACACACCTATCAGATCCGAGATAAAAGGCTGTCACGTCGTAACCTCATTTCAGCCTTTGGCCCAGTAAAGCTACACTTCAAGGTGCTGTAATTATGTTCCGCTGCTTTTGTTCTTAATTGTTACCCATAAGAAAACAAAGCATAAAACTGAATGAGTTCAACGTTGTTTAGAGTGAGCTGGGAGTGAGTGTGCGATGCTGGGTGCCATCCAAGGACACCCAACTGATTGACAAACACTCTACGGTTATTTTTGCTGGGAAGAAGGGTCTGCCCAGAGCTGGTGTAGGGCCAGCAGGACAGACAGACAGACAGACAGAAACCTGCAGGGAACCTGGGGTCAAACCGCGCTCACAGCACTCCCTGTATTGAGCCCAGATTGGGGGCATTGGGTGAAGCACAGACTGTGTGCAGCCCATCGAGCAAAGAAACAGCCACAGGACCCACTGGCAATGGGTTGTTTTAAAATTAGAAGTGTATTTGGGAAAGCTGTTTCAGGAATTTATTCTGCAAGCCAACCTTTCTTCTCTTTTAATATCAAGGACGGCAGCAGCACAAACCTAGGCAAGAGATGGCACGAGGCACACTGTTAGGGCAGGGAAGCCTTCCTGAGGTGTCAGAGCCACGATAAGTCCTGTTTAAACTTTACCTGGAGCTGAGCACTGAGTGTCAACACACACTGCCCAGGCACGCATCCAATTGGGGGCATAAATCACAGCCCAGACGCATCCAGGCGCTGCGTAACGCCACGATTCCCACCGGAGCAGGACTTTCCCAGCAGGTTGCCCGCAGCCAGGTCGCTCCCCTCAGACATTTATTTGTATAAGGAACCCATCTGTGTGCATTATTTTTGTGTTTGTTTTCCCTGGTAGGCACAACGGCACTGCTAGGCAGGGTACAGGCTGTCCCCGCAGCATCCGCGGGCGCTGATGAGATTGGAGCTGCTGTTTGCTGTTCCTCCCACCCCTCTCCCTACCAACAGCTTGGGAAGCGGCCGCAAAATGCAAACAGGAGGAGGGCAGGAGCAGCTCCTACTGCCCCAAGTGGGAACGGAGCTGGAAGGGCTGGCGGGGGCTAATTTGGGGGTTTCATTCTCCACACGAAGGGGGACAGCAGGGAGGTGTTCCTCCTTTGGGAACTTGTTAAATAACCCCAAATACCAGCACTTTCTACAGCCACCATCACAGCATACCGTCACCTACAAGAGCACCGCCCAGCACAACGCAACGCGACAACAAACGCATCTGGAGGTCATTCCCTGCAGCAATGGCACCGTTTGCTTTCCCAAATGGGTTCTGCAATGGTTGCACCGACACCATCACCCTGCAGCCCTCGGTTCCCTCTGTCTCAGCAGCCAGATATGTTACAATGTGAACAGCATCCAGGCTGTGAGCTCAGTGAGCTCCGGATTGGCTCTTTGAGTGACGTAACTCATAATTAAAAACCCATGTCAATATCCTAAGAATTTCTTTTTCCCCAGATTGGGCAAAAGGAAGGTTAAAAAACACCATCTGTCATGGTGATTTATTTTCATATTTCTCCTTCCCTTGTTAAAGAGAAGCGGGCAGGGGAGAATGTTCATTTGAAGCTTGCAACATGTTTTATTAATTGATGGCAAATAATCCTAAGATAAAGTGCACAATAAATTCCTTAATGAGAACATATGGCGGGGAAAATTGATAGGAGGGAGCCTTTGAAGGTTTCCGCGTGAGCACAGTTACAACAAAAGGAGCAGGCAAAGTCTGGCAAGGAGGAGCTAACATGCTAAAATCAGAGACAGAGGGGACATGGGACAGCCAAGCTGTGCCCACAGCATCCCCGTCCCTCCCCAGACACTGCCAATGCCCAACAGCTGCTTCAGGCTCTGTCCTGCCAGGGGATCCTAGGTGGGCCAGCAGGCAGTGCTCTAAAGAACATCAGCAGCTGTCTGGTGTAAAGTACCACATCTTGGACACAAATCAGGAAATAGAAACCAGCTCCCAGGAGCAGGCTGATACCAAAGCATCCACACCAACAAAACACAGAATTTTTCCAGGGTTGAAGTGCCTTAAGAGCAGCCCCAAGACTGCCTTGAGCATCTCCATTCTAATACCCTTGGAGTGCAGATGCACGAAGCAGCAATGTCATCAGCTCCAGTGCTGCAGGGTTGGAGACAATGCACACCCCATGCTGCAAGCAAGAGGTGTCTCCAGCTTTCGGAGAACAGTTGCTTTTTAATTAAATTGCTCATTAAGTAGAAATAAAGGAATGAAAATGGGTTCACATGGATAAACAGATCATTCCAGACCGGGACGTATTTCAGGCTTAGAAACAAAACTACTTTTCAGTAGCAGGTGATAAGGAGTGCTTCCATTTTCCATTTTCCAACAACCAGCTCTGCAGAAGGTGACAAAGCTCTGATCTTTGACTCCAACAGAAGCATCATTCCCCACCCACCCACCTGCAGCCCAGAGATTCCTCTCACTCCTCCTGCAGACTTTTCCTGCTCACAGAGTGCATACGGCACATGGATACCCCTCAGCATTGTCCATGGGAGCAAAAATCCTCCACCAGAACCCCAGAGTTGACAGCATTCCTGTTCCCACCCAACACACCAGGACCAGCTCCTGCAAAACAGACCCCAAACTGCCCCATCTGCTTCCAAAAAGCTCATGTGAATACTGTTCTGCACTTGGATAAACGTCCATTTCCAAAGGGGGATGCTGAGATCCAACAGCCCAAAACCTGGGCAACAAAGCCCTCGCTTTGGGATGGGAGCCACAAGCTGAAAATTCAGGTCACCAAAGCAAACATGATGGAGAGCCTTTGAAAGGAAACTTTGGGAAAGGGCTGTTCAGAATATGCCTTGTTCCTGTTTGTTCAACAATGAGGAATCCACCTTTGAAATACAAGTATTCTATTGAACGCAGAGAGCGGGTCAGCAGGATGCAGATTTTCAAGCAAGATCCTCACATCTCTTCCTGGCTTGACCCTCCCCAGGCTGCACCACACTCTCAGTGCATGCTCAGGACAGAAACACCATAAAAAGTGGAACATCTCACTTAAAAAAAAAACCCACACCAATATTTTTCATTGTTTGTTAAGCTAGGCTAAAGGTACTTTCCCTTATTGGCAGGCATGTCAAAGAAGAAACCATAAATCCTACCTAATTTTAAGGAAGCGGAGCTCTGTAAAATAAATGGCAATGCAGCATGCAGCCCTGTCATCTTTGGTTACTGTCCCCATCAGTAGCCTAGCCAAAGGGAGCCCCTGGGGGCCAACAACTCGACCCACGCCAAACTGAAATTAATTTGTGACTTTAGAGCTTCAGGCA